GTCTATGTGAGTCAGTCCGTTTATCAGACTTCCGTTGCATACATACTCATCCTATATTGGTTGATCTTTGGTTCTGCCCCATACTCGTTGATAAAATCACGAGTATGTAACAGATAGGCACCAGGGCTGATAGGTTGCCCAGCCCTGGTGGAAGCGAAATCGGACGAGCCTTGTCGAACGAGAACTTCGGACGCCAGGCCCAGACAATCTACTACAGGCCCCAAGAGACTCTGGGCCCTAGGTTTCAGACAGGGTAGCACTCATTGAAACAGTCTTTACCGTCCTTCCCCTAGCTTACCCAAGGCCAGGCGGAACTCGGACTGGCGTGAGCGACTTATACCCCTACCCTTACCCCAGGGTCTAAGCCTTATATATCGTCACTAGGCAGTTCTATTCAAATATCAGTAGGAACTCCGGTGGCCCATACCTGTCCCTACTGCAAATACTAGACCCCACCAGTGACTAGACCCCACCAGTCTGATAGTTGTGTAGTTCGTAATCTATGTGTGTATCGAAAGACTGCATGCTTCGTGTATCTGTGTATCAAGATGTGCAGACAGCACCATATGTGGAAACTTGTATATGTAGCCTGTAGGCCATGTATAATTCGCAAGCTGTGTATATATGCCCGAAGGCTGTGTGTGCTCTGTGAATCAAATTCAATCGATGTATCAAGATGTATAGGCAGCATCATGCGTGTATATCGAAGACAGAACGGGGTAAGCTGGACAAGGACCCCCCCAAGGTCCGAACCAAGCTCGAACCCGTGACCTTGTAACGTGTAATCTAATTACGAATAGTGGAAATGGCACGAACGTGTGATATGCCAGACTGGGGAGATCAACAGAACACCCGAGACCAACACCCCCAAGCAACCCATGTGAAACCCAGAACCAACATACAACACCATGAACAACCCTTGGGTGGTGCACAGGCGGTGTCTGTAATAGCTAACCTGCGTCATCCCAAGGGGTGTGTGTCCAGCCATGTGTCATTCTAACGCCCTGCCGGTGTCCATGCGCAAGGCTGCGGATTTGAACCAACAACCTCATACCACAGTGCGCATTTCCAACCGGTGCTCTAACCACTGAGCTACACCAACTGACGTCAAGTGGTCATCCTCACATGTCAAACAGCCGACTGAGCGTTTTCAGAAACACATGTGGGTCATCGATCCACAGGAATTATCCTAAGAAGAAGGGGGAGGGGGAGGAGGGAGGAGGAGGAGGAGGAGGAAGAAGAAGAAGAAGAAGAAGAAGAAGAAGAAGAAGAAGAAGAAGAAGAAGAAGAAGAAGAAGAAGAAGAATTCTCAGATGTTCTAAATAGGTGCAAGGCAAGTTAGATCTCCAAAAGGTGAGTAATCAGGAAGAGACAGAAGCCACCACTGATGCAACTAAGGGCTTACTCACACAACCAAGATGTTAAATGTATACGGCCACATTTACCGCGGGACCTGTATGCATCTTCCCACAATTCCGCCCAGAAATAAGTAAAAAAGTGTCAGTGTGAGTATGCCCTAAGACAAGCAACTGAGAGGAAGTTCAAATGGATAACGCGTTCTATGCTGATCAGTGCACATTGATCAGAACGAAGGAATACACAAGGCAATCTGTCGGAGGACCAGTTCCCTCATATCAGCTGAGCATGGGAGGTCGCCAGATCACAGAAGATATGATCGATTCACAGACATATGGATGGCAGCCTGTCTCCTCAGAGCAGTCCAAAGCTGCCATACTGGATTACACAGTATCGCTGGAAGACACAGAAGGCACCACTGATGCAACTAAGGGCGTACTCACAAAAGCAAGATCTTAAATGTATATGGCCACATTTATGGCCGGACCTGTATGTATCTGGCCACAATTCCGCCCAGAAATAAGTAAAGAAGTGCCAGTGTGAGTATGGCGCAAGACAAGCAAGGGTGTGATGACCTGACCAAACACGGACTGAGACACACAGCTGATTTCTGAGTTTTGCCCATGGACTGAATGCCTTGCTGAGTTTCCTGCTTGCTACTAAGTTCTCTAAGTCTGTGTGTGTGCACACTTGCTGGTCTGCATGTCTGTCTGAGTGCGTGATGGCTTGAGAGTGTGTGTGACCCACAAGGGCACTTGTTCGTTCATTGGGCCCTCAGGGCCGGTACTTACCTGTGGCCGTGACATTGAGGATTGCAGCGGGGAAAACACTCAAGTGGCGGGGGAAGAGGCCCGCAACACTTGAAGCAGCGGGCAAACACTCAAGTAGCAGGTAGGCCGGTACGACACCCTAAAGAGGTAGATGTGCCGGGTACTCGAGGCCGAGCAGAAGAAGACAAAACTGGCTTTTTTAGAGGCCCAGTAGTGGTAGGCTAGGTCTAGGCGGGTACCAGTCCAACCAGTCTGACTCTAGGGCCTGTACGGGCAATATCAGAGTCTGCAATGATGTTTCCCTCCGAAAGGGAGGAGGTACCGGTTGCTTGGAAGGCCGAGCGGCCTGGAAGTCACCGCCCAAGAGGCAAGCAGGCCACTATATCTCCAGGCTGGGAGAAGAGCCCAGCCTCATTGTCGGTGTGCAAGTTTGGCGACACACTGGTTGGAGCGCTGGCTGGAGCAGCGCTAGCATTCAGCAGCGCTGCTGGGGAAGGAGCAAGGACACGGAGGAGGAAGAAGGCCAGGACTAGGGAAGAGCGCCAGAGGTACTTACCTGGCTATGGTGACAACTATCTTCATCACCTTGGTGGGCGCTGCAGCAGGAAGGCCCCAGCTGGGGGTAGAGCTACACCAAGAAGCTTTGAGGCAGAGCTAGGCATGGCGGCCTGAGGTAGAGCAGCCATAGCTGCTTTGCGTTGTCCTTTGGACATCAGGGCCAGGCCCGAGTAGTCCGCCATAGCCTCGGCCTCTGAGAATGAAGAGTGAGGGAGACGGCCATGGCTACGGTGGACCTCAAGTTATACCTGCAGTAGAAGAGGGATTCGGACTTTGATTCTGGTTCAGCCATTCCACATTGTATTATTATTTCTTGTGTGAATAAGAGAGGAGGAGATAAGGAGGAGGAGAGTTATTGGCGAAGAAGAAGAGCTTTCTCATTAGTCTATGCTGGTGTACATCTTCTTCTTCTTCTTTTTCTTCTTTTTCTTTCTTCTTCTTCTTCTCCTAACCCTCTCTCTCCTCTCAAGTTCATTCATTTCTTTTTGCAAGTGGACAGCATTGTACTATCTGATGAATGTGTATCTCGAAATCGGCCAGGATCATAACAAGGGAGAGGAAATTCAAATGGATAACGCGCTCTATGCTGATCAGTGCAGATTGATCAGAATGAAGGAATCCACAAGTCAATCTGTCAGAGGACAAGTTCCCTCATATCAGCTGAGCATGGGAGGTTGTTCGATCGCAGAAGATATGATCGATGCAGAGACATATGGATGCAACCTGTCTCCTCAGAGCAGTCCAAAGCTTTTGATGTATTTAGCGGTATCTGCAAAGACAGTCAAATTCTTACGCGCTTTCGCGCCTTGTGATGCAGAGGCATATGGATGGCAGCCTGTCTCCTCAGAGCAGTCCAAAGCTGCCATACTGGATTACACAGTATCGCTGGGCTACCGCTTGAAATCCAGTCCAAAGATAATGAACTGTGTTGGAGTGACAGGGGCCTGGGATGAGAACCAGGCGAGGCTACCTTCTTCCCCCGAATACAACGTACGGTCATTATAGCTGTATTTAGACTGAAACATACCCCTAACACAGCTATAATGACCGTACGTTGTATTCGGGGGAAGAAGGTAGGGATGGCCTCCCGGAGTCTATCCTTGGCCAAAACCTTTGGCAAAAGTTCCGTAAAACCTTGAAGAAATATCTGGTACTTAAACCATCAGTACACTTCCCCACTTGGAAAAAAAAAAATGCGGCTTGCATACAGCCGCAATTTTCAGGGCTCAGCCTCCGGAGCAAAATAGCTGGCGCCGCCATTCAAAAGGAGGCCCAGCCCGGTTTGTGTTTTTTGTGGCAAGCAGGGCGTTTCCAGCTCCAGACAAAAGAGCCTCGGAAGTACTGGTGGTTTAGCTTACCTCCAATTCTCGCAGCTGGTGTGTACGGAAGCAAATGGAGGTCAGTCTATTCTGTTCGACTTGTGCAGGATCTGAAATTGAGACTCAAGAGCACATCTGCTGGTTCTGCATCTTTGCCCAGAAATTCTGGAAATGGTGGCAAGAGGTTTGGGCTCAAGCAAATGAGGGAGAAGATAAAACGGGTAGATGGGGTGAGACGCTCAGCTTGACTGGATAGGATCCAGCTCATCCCACATTGACCAGCATCCTCAGAATCTTGAGGGATGGCGGGTGCTCTGGCTTGAAAGGAATGGACCAAGACAATGGATCTGGACAGAACCGAGGGTAGTATGATTCAAGGATTCAGGGATGTCACTGAAGCAGATTGGCGCAAGAGACAAATATCTTCACTGCCTTTGAAGGATAAACCAGATAGATTTGACAAGAAGTGGGCATTGGACCACTGTTGGACATGGGCTCTGGAACCTGACTAGGAATCCAGTCCGGTTCCTAGTGAAGGCATGGTCCATGGAACCTGACTACCAAACCAGAAAGACAGACTGCACTTCTCCAGAATCTTGGATTCAAGAAGGGCATGGGCTCTGGAACCTGACTAGGAACCCAGTCCCTCCACTGTAAACATTGTCGATTGTTGTTCCAAGATGTAGTCAATACGTTCCTACCATCCCCTGTCTGATCTACCCCTTCTTCTTTCCCCCTCTTCCCAAACTCGGGAGCTGGTGTGGTGACGACACCGCTACCGAAATTGACGATTTGGGAATGGTATGGCAAGGTCCAACGCCTCCGATGCCGTGATGTCTGTTTCTAATTTTTGTTGCTGTCCTACTGAGCATCGGTCTTAAAAGATCTGCCCTTGGATCATTTGGCTGGATATCATATCGGTCTTTTTCGTTTAAGTTTCAACATATGTGGACCTTGACCGATTGTCAAGAAGAAGTCAGAGTATAATGATGGAGGTTAAAATTGTCAAACAACACTTTTGACTTTGACTGTGTGTTTGATTAAAATCCTCTCGCTATCTGTGCCGTCATGTCTGTGAGGCTTGGTGAACAGTTTCTCTGCTATGCAATGGACCACTACATGTATCGATAACACATCAACAATAACAAAAAGGTCAACTGACCTCAACAAACATCAGAAAGGGGGGGGTCCCCAGTTAACTACTCATGGCAAGGTTGGGGGAAATTCTCCTCGGCACTTCAAGATCTTCAGCAACTCCCCCGCAATCCCACCCCTCCTTTCGAGAATTCCCACCAGTTTAGGATATTCAGCCCCCTCTCCCCTGAAGATCCTGCAGATGCTTCAGCGACGAAGAGGCTCTTGACTTCCTGAATTCAAGGGAGTGAAAATTGGTTGTGACCGACGGGCCTAGCTCAGTTGGTACACCAATGAACTGTTGAAACACAGACCCAAGTTCAAATCCTGATGGATAGAATAAAATAATCCTGAATTACCTGGGGCTGGTCAGTTCACTGATGGTATCTCAAGGCCGTCGTCTTTCTAAAAAAGAAAAAGGAAAAGAGAAAAAAAGAAAAGAAATCGCTCGTGAAGCTAACTCATTGGTTATCACTTTGAATTTCCAATTATATCCTTCTCGAACCTGCATCAGAACTCACAAAGCCAAGATAAAGCATACCCATACCCAAAGATTGATGTTTTCAATTTCCAAGCATGATATACAGCTGTGCAGCGCCTAGGGAATGCCGAACGGAGAGTGTGGTAGTTTTCAACATCATCCACTTTTCAACAAGATAGCGGGTTACCAAGCCCATGTGGCTGAATGGTACATAGACCCATGAACTCTGTTGATAAACAGACCTGTGTTCGAATCCTTATGTAATAAAAACATTATTGCGGCGCCTAGGTGAAGTGCGCTGTGCAGTGTGCGGTGCGCTAATCCCAGATGCGCGCGCACAACAACAACAACAACAACAACAACCAAACAAACAAACAAACAAACAAACAAACAAAAAAAAAACAAAAAACAAAAAAAAAGCAACCGTGATGTGTGTATACACGCTGGAGAGAGAGAGAGAGAGAGAGAGAGAGAGAGAGAGCGCACAGATCCCTTTCACATTATTCAGACAACCCCTGCTGGTATTTGAGAAGGTCTCTGCCAAAAATTGGCAAGGGTCCCGTCGGGAGGAGCGGGGTGGTCATTGGACGGGTCATCACTGGACTTGTAGTAAGGAGGGAGCACGCCAGCTATATATGGTGTAGCTTCAAATTCAGGTCCGTGTTTCAGCAGTTATGGGTCCACTACTCACCAAATGTGCAAAATGAAACGGTATTCACCCGTTAGCAGTAGCGAATGCAGATCCCAGGGCTCGAACCCTAAGTTCCTACCTTACCCGTGTGCAGTACCTGTGTTGACCCCAAGAGTTGAACCCGTAACCTGTGTATTCGCAACAGTTGGTAGTCTGTCGTAGGCCCGTAGGTTGAAGGGGTTCGATCTGTAGACCTGTCAAGTAGGGGTCAAGTTTGTAGCAGAGGTCGT